AAAAATTTTATTATCTTTAAAAAAAATTTTAATTAAAAATATACATAATATAAAGATTAAATTTATTTTATAAATAATATTTAATAATAATTTTAATTTTAAAAAATAATGTAAGAATATATATAACAAAAAAAAAATAAAAAGATTTATATTTATAGATAGATAGATAGATTTATATAAAAAATTATTTAAAAAAAGTTGGAAAAAAATTGAAATATTAACTTTTAAAAAATATAATAAACAGAAAAAATATGGATATATTTATTAAAATTTATATACGGAATTATCCTGAGAATACAGAATGAAGGCCTATATACAACAAGGAAGGACATTTTTTAAAAATCAATTTTATTTTGATTTATCAATTTTTTTATTACATAGAGAATTTGTAAATTATGAAATATAATTGTATAATTATGATAACAATATCACAAATAATCATTAATTTTATATTATTTTTATATATATTTTTATATATGACAATTGTATAATTATAAAAAAAATATATTGAATAATTGAAATTATTATTTTCAAGTTTGATTATAAAAATCATATAACATATAAATTTATTACAATATCATAACATAATATAAACAAATGATAAATAGTATATGACGGCGACATGTTCATTATAAAATTATATAAAATTATATGTGATTTATAATATATTTTATTTGCTTATTATTTTTTCAAATATTTATTTTAAAAATATAGATTTGTATGGTCAAGCATACCTTTAATACAGGGGTTAAGTATTCGGCAACACCAAGCGCAGTACCTTTTACAGAATTAATAACACTCTGCATCGCTTTTTTGCAGAACAGAAAATTTAAATTTATTAAAAGTGAAAAAGATCAGAGAAAATAATTGTTTACAGCAAACATTCATATGATATCAACAGTTTCCAACGTATTATCGATTTGGGCGAACATAGAGGAGTCATATATGCGATACCAAAAAAACTCCCCTTTCCATTAAATTCCCCTACCATCTTTTACTATTTCCCCACTTTTTGAAATATTTAATGAGCATGCGTATAAAAATTGACAATAATTTGTCAATCGTAAAATCGTACTAAATCTGTAATCGACATATAAATAATTCTATAAGCACGTAAAAAAAAAATATTTTAAATTTATTTGTATAAATTTATTAATATATATTATTATATAATATAATACTAAATATATTTTTGATAAAACTTAAAATTCTTTTAATTTGTATAATTCTTTACTAACTCAAATTAAATTTCAATAATTCATTAATTCTAAAAATACTTTTTAGTTTATATTAAAAAAGATAATAAATTTTGTTATATAATTTAAAAATTATATTATTTTTTAAAAAATATATCTATGGAGAAAACAATATGAAAAGAATATTTTCTTTAAATTGTTTTATAAATATTATTATCTCCATAGAAACCTGAATATGAATCAATTCAAACATTCCTTTTAAGAAACAAATAAGGCTAATGACCCATGCAATACACAACATTAAACCTTTAAAGTGCAAACAAGAGACGATTATTTTACAACTAGTGATCTACAATAAAAAAGTTAAAAAAATAAAATTTAAATAATTTAGATTTTTTTTTAAAAATATCAATATTTTTATTTTATAAAGAAATAGAAATAATTAAAATATATAGAAAAATCTAATATTAGTTTCTATATTATAATTATATATTATAATTATTTATATTAGTTTTTG